TGGGGCTGGTACACTAGGCCAGAAGTGGCCGCAGTACAAGGGAGTTGGTCCCACCCCGCTAGCAATAAAAAAAGGTATTAACGCAAATTCTTAAGTTTGATGGAAATTATATATAGTATTGATTATATTAAAATGTGTTTTAAATCTATTGCATAAAAGCAATCACGTTAGAAACTCTTCTGGGAGGAAATAAGATGAGTTTCCGCACCATAATTTTCTTCCAGTTCGTGTAAGCCTCAAACTAGCCACAGGTGGGTCTCATTCTGTATGTGTTTGTGGGTATGCAGGTGTGTCAGCACACCCATGGCTATAAGCGCCTATATAGAAATCAAGGTAGAAAACATTCATGTAGCACGCAGTAAAATTAACTGAAAACAAATTACTCGGAAATAATCTGTGTAAATGAAGATCACGTTGACATGTTTCTGCTTGAAACAAATGTGTTTTTATTATTTCTATATCCAGAAGAAATTACAAATTGAATTGGCCTAATTCCTAACGTCTGCACGAATAGAAACATTTCGGAATGCAATGGCGGATTTTGAGTCTCACGGCATAACTAAATGTCATCGAAGTTGAAGACAGTTGTCAGAATTCAAGTCTTCTTCCTTACTTTGAGGCTGTTAGGAGCCAGAGTGCAGAGAGCCTCCTTGGGGAGAATGCTTGACGTACACGCTAGCATTTAGAACTTTTAAAACTATTTGTACAGATATAGAAGTTGCATCTATGTATACACGTGTATGTACATATGTAAATAGGGCCATGAATTTACTTATGTATATACATTCTTGTATGCGTGGATATAAAAAGGCGAAATTTTCCCTGTTCTTAATTAATTAAGAACAACGCTAGATAAACTTATCGGTGAGTGGAGGTAGAGCTCCACGATTCTTGCCCTCTGTACTAGATTGAAATCAGATTCACGCCCTGGCCGCTTTACCCCCGGGGGACAGAGCCACCTGTGGCCATTGGATAGGAGGCTAGGTGGGTCCCTGAGCCTGAATGCTGTGGAGAAGAGAGAAATCATGCTCTGCTGAGAATGAACCCCCGGCTCTGCAACCAGCAGCCCGTCGCTATAGCGACCGAGTAATCCGGGCTCCATGTGTCGTCATAGGCATATATATATTGTCTTACAAGAGTGGTCATATATTTCCTTTACGAGGGAACTTATGAAAGATTAAATCACGTCTCCGTAAAACACATTTAAAAATCTGGAAGGGTATTAAAGAGGTGAGTGATGACGTCAAAACAAAATAAATATCAGAACTGTATTATCACGAACGAAGTCTCTTTTGTGACATTTGAGGTTTCCATTATAGTGTCCGCATACAGCACTGTCTCCCGGTATATTTAGCTCTGTGGTCTGATATACGTTTACCCAGAAGTAGAAGAGACAATAAGGCGTAACATCCCAGAAGATTTACTCTTCAAATATTTTTTTTTTGTGCTTCTTTCCATGTGTTTCGTAATGAACATAACATGACTGGAACATGTATAGAAATGTTCTTCCTTTATTCTCTTCGTGTCCATGAAATATGTTTAAATGAAAAGCTGTATGTAGCCAATAAACCTTTGGGTTGATGAAAAAACTTCATATTCAAATGGATCAGGTTGTGTCTCAATACAAAAGCTAAACAATATTTCCTTGGACTGAGAGTCAATAACTCGAAGACCCATATTTTTATGTTACATACCCTTGTATTAACTGATAATATCCAAAATAATTTTAGTGTGTTGTTTTAGGAGGAAAGAATACTATTATATATATGTATATATATATTTATTTAAAACAAAGGTCTGTTTAATGGGAAAGCAAAAATTAAAAGATCTGTATAATAAATTTTAAAGTTCTAAACTGAATAAATTTTAACAGTCATCTAAAGAGCATACACGCAAATTTACCTAACCCAAACACAGAACATACTGCAGTACCACTTGGAGATATTTGCAACACTCCTCCATTTTGTAGAAAATATGGTTTCGAAATGTAGGCACACATACAGACGTCTATTCCTGTAAAGTCTCAGTGTTTCCATATTTTCCAGTCGCTAAACTGCAACCAGTCTTCTTTGAGGCGTACCTTTCGTAGTACATCGAACAGAATCTGCCTTCTTCCTCCTCGGACGAGAAATCTTCAAAAGCCCAGCTTCTTCCAACAATCCTTAGTTCTGTTTCCCCTTATTTTGGTGACTGTTTTGCGAAAACTTTCTTTTCTTTATTTCTTGATATTTTCGCCTTCATTTTCTTCTCTTTAACTCTTTCCCTCATCACTACAAATCCTTTATTCTGTAGTTACTTTCCTTTCGGGAATACCAACTTTCTTCTCTTTCTTCAAATTTGAGATTATATATTTCGCGGCGGCGACCTTGGTGGCCGGCTCAGAACCTCTAGGATGAACACCTTCGTTCTGGTTACAGCTGGTTCAGAGCAGTTTCATCGAACAACTGCTTCACTTTACCTCTGCTGCAACTAGAGTCAGTCTTCGCTACATGATGTGTGCTGTCTAAACAAACATTGAATGAGACATACATGTTAGTACTAAAAGCATGCATGTCAAGTTCTGAACTTCTTGTGGAGTTTACACTTGAAATAATAACGTCAAAATCATGTTAAAGTGTAAAGTGTTCTTCCTGCCATCATGCTCACCTATACATATATACATCATTCTGAATGTTTACGGAGTGCATGCAAACAAACATGTCGCGGCTCAGAGGCCTAGCTACAAAAATAGTTCACGACGGACGAATAGATTGCTAACCGTTATGGATTTAAAACTATCCTGGAGAAACGAATAGTTTCACAGTACCAATTATCGGAATTAGTAAGTAACGTGCCCACACAAAAGTGGTATTAGCACATTCAAATAACACACACTGTCCAATGGGGCTTAACGTGCTGCACTTGAAATGAAGAGAGGCGTCATTTTTGCCGCAGTAAGAGGCGTTTTCCCGCCTCTAAACCGAAAATAATCGACCTTGCTGTCGCTTCTCTCCAACGTTTTGCTTCGACGAATTTCCATATATGTTTCATTTTGGAAAATAAATGTATACACAAAAAGGCCTAGCTAATGCACATCCAGTTCTCTGTAGCACAGTCTTGTGAACGTCTTATTCGATCATAGCGGTTCCCAGCGATATTTTAATATATCTCTTTACTTAACTATATACTATTAATAATTTGTACATTTAATTCTTTTTCTTTTTGTTAAAAAATTTAGGAATTTTGTTTACGAAGTAAGAGACGCCTTGCGCAAATCTTTCTTCCTCTAACCTTAAGGGCTTTGTAACTGACTTTGGGTATTCTTCTCTGATGTTCTCACACAAAATGTCCATCATTGTTGCCCTTTGGTCTTCGTACAGTTTGCAGTTCAATGTACTATTGATTAAATGCAGTGCTTCT